TGTTGGGTATCAGAAAGAATGAGCGGAATGCGGAAGCACCGGATCAAGTTAATTAGAGATAGAGAGAAGTAAGTAGAGAGACAAGAAAAATAAATACACACCAAGTTTACGTGGAAACTCCAAAGACGGAGAAAAAACCACGGGCGATCAAGAGCAAGATAATTCCACTATGTAGAAATAGGAGAGTACAAGAAGTTCTCTAATATCATGAGAACAAAGATAATCTCTCAAATATAGACTAAAAATACTCTCTTGAATCTTTCCTCTCTATGTATGATTTTTCTCAAGTGTGTAGATTGCTGAATCAATTGCAATTTGCTCCAAATGCTTGATGCCTTATATAGGCATTGAGAAGAAGCGTATGCACCCAGAATAAGGAAACCTGGAACAAAACAAGGAGCAAAAAAGAGGAAACCATGCATGGAATCATGGCCTAAAATCAAGGAAACGTGTTTTCCTTAAAACAGGAAATATGGAAGAAATTTGTGCCATAACTTTACATATAGGATAAAGATAAACATCACTATTTCTTATCGATGTTTACAAAGACTAAGAAAATATAATTTTATAACTTAATAACTATTAAAAATAATTCTATAAGTGTAATTATTCTATTTTGAAAAAAACAAAATAATATTAAAATTAAATATAATAATATCTTAATATTTCAATTAATATTTTAAGTCCATTGAATTCTGCAGGTTATTAGTTTTCTTTCTTTTAAATCTTAACATGTATGTACTAGTTTCAACTTTGTACAGGTTGGGCACCTTTGTACGTTTTATCCTCTTTATTAATATATATCTTTTTTGCTGTTAAAAGAAAAAAAAATGCAGCTCTCAGGATTCATTTACTCTGCATTATTGATCCTGTCCGATCAGAGAGGGCCCTATGATTAAAAAAGTTGATTGATTCATTATTGAATAATGAATATCAACATGGAAAGATTCTTGGGCATTTGCAGACATGATATCGTAAGGCATCATGCAAGAAAAGAACAACTCAAGTTTTTTATTACAACGATACTACAGGAATAGGAGTAGAAGATTTCAGTTACAATATATAAATTTTTGAATGATTGCGTTTAATATATATTAGAATCTGGAAAATAAAAATACAAACTTGGACTATTTTGTATTGTGTCATGGTTTTGATATATTCGAATATTTATACTTATTCTTGACAAGTGGGGGTTTATGTTGCTTCTTCTTAATTGGGTGGTCCTTACTCTTTATAAAGACTATTGTAATTTAATATTTCCTTTATGTAAAAGGGTTCAGGTATCCCTTGTACCTGTGTATTCCAATAATATTAACTATTTGCTGTCAAAAAAAAAAAATACTTATTCCCTCTTAGTGGAGAAGTTACTACTATTACAATATTTTCTTTTCTTACGTTGAAATCTCTTTCTCCTAATAAACTTAAGTATATGATACTTTATTTTATTTTAAAATTTTTCATTAAGGTTTCGTTAGTTTTTGTTAAAAAAATATTATACATTATTATCTCTTAATGGATGTAAATATTAGATTGCTCTCTTGCTTTTGTGCTAAAAACTTAAAATATACATTTTATTATTTTGATTCTTGAAAAATGCAAATATATCTACTATCGGCTTTTTAAAATTTTCCGTGAAAAATATTTATGTTTGAAGAATCTTTCACCCTACTTCCATCTTGAAAGATTTAATATTACATTTTTTGTTCTATTATTTCAAGATATATATTTTTCTCCTTTAATATATGAGAATATACTCTCTTTTTTTCATTTTTTTTAACATTTTGTATAAAAATATAATAGTTTATATTAAAGAATAATATATTTGTTCAATTACTTACAAAATATATGTTAGGAAATTATTTGATTTTTATAATATATTTTTCAGGCATAAAACCTATCTCTATTGAGCTCCATTAATATCTAACATTTTATATATTATTAACAATTAATTAAGTCAAATGTCTTGTCACTTCCAAATCATTTAATCTTTTTTTTTTTAATCCCTTACGAAGAAAGACAATGTTAATGCTTTGACAAGAAGCAATATTAGAGCATTGAGTGATTTAAGAGTAACTTGATAAATTAAAAAATAATTTGGTATAATTTAATCATAAATATATTTGGAATATTATAAAGCATAATATTTAATATAGTGTTATGTTAGATAAACTAGATGATATATTTCAATATAAGAAGATGAGAGAAGTGTAATATTTTATCTTTTAAGAGGGAGAATTGTAATTGATTTTAACAATATATTAAGTTAATTGAATAAACTTTGTATTTTAACTCAAAAAAGGAATGATAATGAAGGGAAAAAAGTGTAACTAAAACTTATAATATCAAATTAAATAATGAAACATATGGGTAAGCAAGATCCAAAAATAGTGAGGTGAGCAAGACTTGACCCAAAGGAGATTGATTTGGACTAATTCAAATTTTAAAATTAGACATGATGTACCTTTTTTAATGGGTTCATATTATTATGCTTTGGGTTTTCCCTATCCAATTTAATGAACTACGTTGATTTAGAAAGTATATATATATTTTTTTCAAATATTGTGCAGTAATAACAATTTTTTTAATTTAATAGATAATTTACATAACTTGCTGTTTTTTTTAAAACATATTATAAAATATACTTTAATTTAAAGTTTTAAAATTTATCAACATTAAAATTTAATTTTTTAAAATTAGGAGAGTTAAATGTTTTCTAAGATAGAAAAATTAAAATTATGGATTTAACAAAAATATGAGAACAAAAATTCAATTTAACCGTTGTTTTATTACCATAACATATTTTATTAAATTATTTATAAATTAAATACTTTTAATCCAAAAAAAACCATTTGGTATTTAATATCCACATTCTTGTTTAATTTAAAAATTTCTTCTAAAAAAAAGCTTGATTTAAAAATTAAAGTCAGTATCAATAACTTCATCACACGACTTATCCAATTAAGTTGTATGTACTCGTCAAAAGACAGGACGTACGAATGGTTTTGCACGAGAAACATAAAAACTGCCAATGAACAGCTAGCACGATTTCTGTTAATCTCGATTCCTCTATTTTCATTTTTATTCAACTTTCAAGCACTAACATAAGCATAGCATAAGCAATTAAGCATAAGCATAAGCATAAGCATAAGCATTCCTCGTATGAAAAAGTAAAACCTAGGCATGGCAAGCTGCAGTGTCGGGTTCCACCAACTCCACGCCCTGCTCAGCGAGCCTCTTGTCCTTGTACACGTAGCCCTTAGCACAAAACAAGTACACCACCAAATTCAAACAACTCAACATAGCCAAAAGCCAGTAGAAATAATATAGCTTCCCCTGGTTAAGATTATCCGCAAGCCACGCCTCACGGTGGCGCGTTGCTTTGTGCACAAAAGTTACCAACAAGGAGCTAAGGAAAAACCCTAACGACAACGTGCTCATAAACAAACCCGTGCTCATGGTCTTCATCCCCTTCGGACACTCCCTCAGGAAAAAATCTAGCTGCCCTATGTACGTAAACGCCTCACCGGACCCCACGAAGAAGAACTGCGGCACCAGCCAGAAGACGCTCATCGGAAGCACCGCGTGAGGGTTATGCGCCAAACCGTGCGCGTGCGCCACTCTCAGCCGCTTTATTTCCACTAGTGCTGCTGCCACCATTGCGAAGATCGAGAGGACTAACCCTACGCCGATGCGTTGCAATGGGGTTAGCCCTTGCGGGTTGTTTGAGGCTTTTCTGGCGATGGGAGCGATGATGCGGTCGTAGATGGGGACTGTTAGGAGGACGCTGCCCACGAAGAAGACGGTCAGGGAGGCGGCGGGGATCTGGAACGACTTTCCGATGCGGCGGTCCATGGTGGTCGCTTGTGATACTGAGAATGTCGTCATTTGGGCGTATATTGTCCAGAACATGATGGTGGTGGCCCACACTGGGACCATTCTCTGCACCATTTTTACTTCTTCAACGTCTGTTAAGGTTGAGAGATACCATTTTTTCTCCGCCGTTATTTCTTCCCCGTCGGTTTTAGGGTCCTTGATTGCTGCCTTGTCCAAGCACCTTCACTCACACATTCAACAAAATATGACATTTATTAATTCTTTAAGGAAATCACTGCTTAATAATAATAATATCTGGAAAAGGATACAAGAGATGCATGCATAGACCAGAATAAATAAGAATATTGATTGGTCGTGGTTGCTACATGATGTGAATTTTTCGGATCGAGGTTTTAAATTGCATTTTACACATATAATCTTAGATATAATTGTTATATAGTTGCATTTAATCGTGAATGTGTTATAGTATTAGAGTTTTAGTGATCATAGCGGCTCCAACTGCTACTTCGCACATATAATGTGAATATCATGATTTTAAGTTGCGGTTAATTACAGTCATAAACTCAACAACAATTATTATAATAAGGTAAGATATATGATATCATTTTAGAATTCAAATTTGGATCTAACTATCTAAGTCAGTTATACAAAAACAATTTGTATAGTAGAATTATTGTCTCATTTATATTCACTTCTTTTGTCTTATTATCAGTCTACATGTGGGATCTCCTATAGACATTGAAAAGAAAATGTAATAAATACGGTCACAATTCACAAACTCACAATTATAGTTGCATTGAGTTGGGATAAAAAAAAAAAAGATAGAGTTGCATGGAGTAAAAAAAGAAAAACCACTATATTGCAGACGTAATTACGAATTTAAAACCATGGTGTTGATGAATAATTAAGGTTTTGGTAGCTAGCTAGCTAAAAGGGTTATATTATATTTTTGTTTTCGGAGAAAGTTTGCATGTATCGGGCATGACAGGCAAAGACGTTTATCTTAAATTAAAACGAGTCATCTATTAGTAGAGAGCAGTGCATAGATAGATCGATCGCATATAGAATTAAAGGCAACATTGTAGGGCTAAGACCTAGCACAAACCACAATGGCATGTTCGTGACAGATAGGTGTGGGAAAGTGAGACAAATTAAAGGGCTTAATTAGGAGAGATTAAAGAGAAAGTGGTATGCTTTTGGAAAAAAAAAATAAAAGAGAAAAAGTGGTATGAACTATGAAGCATGCAGGACAAATGGTGCGGTGAACGTACGTCCACTGAGAGACAGCTTTGCCACTGCTAGCCCTTCCCCCCCGTGATTCCTTTCAGTTTTTAGACTTCTTAGAAATTATAAAACCGACTATATTATTTACTTTTGGGATCAGAGTAAGTAAAACAAAAAGGAACATGAGGGTGCTCATTTTGAATAATATTCTATTCAATTAGGACACTGCCCATCGTGAGAGCATGTCCCTTGCACAAGCAGAAAGAAACAAAAACTATAGTTGGATTTAATTAGATCAGATCTCTGCATATAATTTTAATTTCTTAATTTTTTGAATAAAATTATTTTTAAGTTAAATTTAACTCTTTCTTTAATTTTTTATACTTAAACTTAATCTTGTGTTCTATTCGATCAAATAATAGGAGATTTACTATAGATTTAAAATATAAAAAATTTATAAGAAAAATAATTAATAAAAAATGATAAATTTAAAGAATTTAGTAGAAAGTGAGATTAGATATGACAAAAGACAAAATTTTGAGCTTTTAAATTTGATATTTTTGTAGGTGGGACTACCAAAAAATTATCATGGAATGACACAATAAAGTGATATAATATTTATCACTAAAAATTATTTTTATTTATATTATAAATATAATTAATATATATTGATATATTGTTAAAAAAAAATATATAGACTATAATGATACATAATATATGTTATTTGATCTCGTTCAAAATCAATACTAAAGTTGTGTGTGACTATGTATCAAATTGATTTGTACATACATATAATATATTTATAATGATACTTTTTGTATGTCACTATATGTAACATTTTTTGTAATGTGAATTTTTAATGAAATTCTTTTTTAAATAATTGGTTTAAGTTGTGAGTTTTTTTTTTGTGTGTAGAAAATGAGAAATTATAAATCTTAGATAATAGAACATGAACTTAATTAAGTAACACATTCTCTAATACATTATTTTTAACTCATTTTTCTTATTTGTTAAATTTTATTTAAAACTACAAAATTATTAGTAAAACTCATGAAATAAAGAGTGAGACTCACAATTTTTATGATTTTCAAGATAGAGGTGTCAACAACATATTAACACGTTAATTTCTTTTGATACATTTTGTATTATTAAATTAAAATTTATTAAAAGTTTCAAAATCATATATAGGGACCAACAAAATTTTGTAACTATCAGTAAATTTTACTTAATAATAAAGGAAATGTATTCAAAAGATTGCTATATATATATATATAATGCATTGTTAGTATTTCTCACAAATTTTGTTAATAATTAAAAAAAGAAGTGTTAGAAAAAGTGTATTGTTAGAAAGAAAGTGATAGAAAAATTATAATAAAAACATTATTAGAGAATACATTTAATAAAAAATTAAAAGTATAATTAAGTCAAAATTTTCTTTACCGAGAATACAACTACATCAAAATTCGATAGGAAAGACTTTATCTCATTTAATAATCTTGTCTAACTAAAATTTAAAAAGGTGAGTAAAATAAAAAAAAAATAAAAAAAAGTTGGTAACTATTTCTCCCCTGATTGCAGACATATTGTAAACAGTCATGTGGTCACCAAGGAGGGAAGGAATTATATGAGAGATATTTAAGTAGGAAACCAGTCACGTGACATGTCTAATTTATGACTATTTGATTATAGATAGTATATCGTTTAAAGCAAATATGATAGTATGCTAAGTCAGGCCTATTTTTACTGTTGAACTTTCAGCTCGTGGATGAACATGACCAATCCAGCGAGCAGAGAAAACGAAAACAAGCTTAGTTGTCAACTTCATGATCGACTTTACGTGCCAATAATGAAGAGTCCAAGGTCGACAATTTTGCACTTATTAAAAAGTTGAATTCCCACGATTAAATAACATGGGAGCCCTACCTCAAAAGATAAAGTTCACTACCGTGGTTGCCATTCCACCACCAAATTGTGCTTGTATTAGTAGTGAGTTGAGTTCATGCAACTTTCGAAATAAATAAAATTATGATATGAGATCATCACAAATTATGTATTTATAGCTTTCAAAAATCATAGGAAGTTCGATTCATTACTCATCTAAACACAACATACTTTATTTCGATTAGTGACTTAAAGGCATTTCATGTTTTTATTTTTCATAAAAAATAATAATTTTAAAAATAATTATGTAATATATGGTTATTTAATGAGAGTTTTTATTTGTAATAAAAATATAAGATACAGTGAGAATTTTTATTTAATTATAGATTATACCAAACTAGAAGACTTTCTAAAAGTTTTAAGGTATCTTAAAAGAGTTAATCACTTATATATTATCAGTGTAAAGTTTTTTTTTATACTAACAACCAATCATATTTTTTAATAATGACATGTCAGTTGTTTATTTAATGAAATAATAATAAAATAAACAATTTTAAAAAATATAATTAATTATTAGTGTAAAAAATTTCACACTAGCAATATAGAGATGATTAACTCATCTTAAAATCCCACGCAAATAATGATAAATTTTTGTGCTTTTAATTCTAAGTGAGCTTAGATAAGATCACGAAACCCTCCATGTGGAAAGGCAATGATAGAATATTGATCTATACTGATCGATCCGTACACTAGATAGACCAGTAAGAACCATTTTTTGTGAAAGAAAACATTAAAATTTAAAGTATAAACTGGTTAACCGTGAATGAAAAACTTTAAAGTAGAATATCGTATCATTGCAGAAAAATAACATGTGAAAAAAGGAAATGATCTATTATAGTGTAAGTTTACAAAAACTATATATAATAAAAACAAAAGGCTTTCTCGAGAAGCATTATCGATAACCAAGAACGATGGTTAAACAGATATGAATCAATATTAAATTCAAATTTGCAACTGGAAGATAGCAGTTTAGATTTAATTTTTTTAAAATGGAAGAGAATTATAAAATTACTATTTTTTTTATAAGCGATCAATCGCTATTTAGAATTTTCTTTTATATCACATATATCATTCACCAAAGTAGGAATCGCTAATTAGTTGTTGATGGTAGATATCAAAGAAAAATTTAATACATATGTATGCATTATTAGTATAAAAGTAATTACATTATCAATCAATGAGAAAAATATTGTTTTTATAATTTTATAATATATATATATATATATATATATATATATATATATGATAGTTT